ATATTTTAGACATCACCAGCTGATAAGGCAAATCATTTAAAAGTTAAAACAGATTTAGTTAGAAGAACATTTAATTTCCCAGATACCGAAAATGTTATTCAAGATTATTCATGTGCTTTAAATAAAGTAACATTAGGAAAGTTATATATTACAGAAAATTATTTATCATTTATAGCATCGATTGGTAGTACAACTGTATGTTATTATTTTAAAATTACACTATAATACTAAAAGTAATAATAATAATAATAATAATAATAATAATAATAATAATAATAATAATAATAATAATAATAATAATAAAGCTAAATTATAGAATAGATTATTAATTACTATTTTATTTTAGGAAGTTATTCCATTAAGAAAAATCCTTGATATGAAAAAAGATACTACTTTATTTGTAAATAATGCAATAACATTTCAAACTTCAACACAAACTTTATCATTTGGAACTTTTTCACACAGAGATGAAGCATTTACATTAATTCATCATCTTTGGAAATGCCCACCTCTTATTTATAACCCAAATTCAGTTGATAGCGAACTTAAGGAGGGTAATTTGTTTAAAGGACAACAACAACAACAACAGCAAATGAATAAAAAATCATCAAGAGTCGACACAGAATCAACTAAAATGGCATTAAGATTAGCAGTAGAGACTAAAGAAACAGGTATTTCAACTTTAAACGAACTTAGTTATCAAGCCGAAGTTATTGATAATATTGAAAGAAATGTAGAGAATATTCATGCTAATTTAGATAGATCCGATCGTTTATTAAAGGGTATAGAGTCATTTGGTGGGGCTATTTCAAATTCTTTTAATAAAGAAAAACCAAGTAACAGACCAGAATTTGAACCAATCGATAGAACACTTCAAGTTCGTCCAAGAGATGAACCACCTGCAGAAATTGATATTTTAGAAAAATTATCAAACGACAGTTTAGTACCAGGTTTTATTCAAATTCACAATGATAGATTTATTGTATTAGATGCCAATAAAAAACAAAAAGTTGATGGTATGTCCACCTATACCTTTGATTTAATCGAATATTTAGTTATTAGAGCAAGACCCCAACATATGGATTTCAGATTCTTTGGTAACAAACATCCAAGATTCAGATTAGCAAGTAGTTATATTCAAAATATTGTAAATGAAATCGTTTTAAGATCAAATGGTAAATATGGTAAAGCACCAAAGGTTATTTTCGAACCAGGAATTAAAGAATTTGTTTATGGTAATCCAACTATTCGTTTCATTCCATCAGCTGGTAGAGCCAATCAACAATCATCATTATTTACTAGAGCCTCCACATTAGGTATTAGCCATTTCGTTAAAGATGCTCCAGAAGATATTAAAGGTGCCCTTTTAGAACAAGATAAAGATTTAGATGAAATTTCAAACCTTTTAGGTGATATTTCAAACATTGCTAGAACTATTGGTGATGAAGCTGATCGTTCATCTGAACAATTAGATAGAATAACAGTTAGAGTAAGATATCATATTTATTAAAAAAAAAATTATAGTAAAATATTAACTTTTTTATTTTGTTTTATTTTATTTAGGTTGATCAAGCTAATGACCGTTTACATACAAATAATAGAAGAATTGAAAAAATGTTATAAAATAAACCAAATATATATATATATTTTTTTTTTTAAATATTTCTTAATACCAATTTTCTTTTTTTTTTTTTAAAATATGCACACAGAAAAAAAAAAGAAAAAAAAAGTTTGATTTTTAATTTAATGATATTTTTTTTTTCTTTAAAGTTTTTATGATAATTTAAAAAATTTTTTATTATTTTTTATTTAAATAAATATGAAAAAAGAATTATACACACAGGTTTTTAATAATATTGTTATTTCTAAACGAATATTTGGTTTTGTTCAAAGAAAAACAGATGATGGATATAGAAGCCTAGATTCATTTCCATTATATATTGTTTTTTTAAATGAAAAACTATTCACTTTAAAATATCAAAGTTATAAATATTATAAAAATAAAATTGGTAATAGAAAAGAAGCATTAAAAAAATTTAAACAAATTAAAGAAAAAAATGAATTTATTGGTTTTTTCGAATCAAAGACTATCCCATCAGAAATTTTTATTGAATTATATCAAGATTTTAAAGATATAAAAGAATTTAACAAGTTATTAAAAGATCCTTCAGTTCAAAACAAAATACTATTTTATTCAATTAAAAGTTTGGATAGAAAGAGAATTGAATTTCTCATTAAAGATGAACATAGGTTTGACTATAACATAAAATCATATTATATAACAGAGATAACTAATATTATGGGTTCCAAAATAGAGTATATAAAATATATTGTAGATTCTATAAAAAAGTATTCAAAAAACTATGGTATTATAAAATCTTTTAAAAAAGAAAAAGATAAAGTTCCTTTATTTACAAATGAAATTTGGAATGTAGAGAGTTTTGAAGTGTTGAAATATCTTTTAAAAGAAAAAGAAAGTTTTTTCTCAGATCTAACGATTAGCGGTGAATATATGGTGAAAGATGCTTGCAAGAAACAAAATTTGGAAATGCTGGTATTTTCAATTAAACAGTTTAATGTAAAGCCAAATTTTAATAACTACAATATGGAGTATTGGAGAGACACTTCTTTTGAAATATTTAAATATCTATTTGAAACCTACACCGACCTGCGATTCAACGACATTTCATTCCATAGCGCATACAATGGTGATTTGGAGTATGCCAAGTACATTGTCGAGGGCTACATAAACAAAGATCCAAGAATTCTGATCACTTACAGATCGCTTGATAGAGTAGCTGAAAAGGGAAGCTTCGATTTAGCAGAGTATTTTCTAAGTAAAGTTGGCCATTTGGAAGTTTCTAGGGATGCTCTAAATAACTCTATTAAATCTGGTGATTTGAAATTAGTAAATTTATTTAAAAATGTTCCTGTTACAAAAAAAGGTGAAAATTTTACAATCTATGATTCCACCTACCAATATATTAAAAAGAATAATAGATTAGATATTTTAAATACATTGCAAAATGATTGTATTTATAGTTCTTATTTTGAAAACTTTATAATAAATTAAAAAATTAATAGTGTGTTTTTATATTTTTTTTTTTAAAAAAAGAGGGAAATGTGGTGTTTTATTATTAGTTTTTATATATTTGTTTAATTCCCACATATATACGTGGTAATTATTATTTATTATTATGGTAACTAATTTTTCATCAATTTAAAAAAATATGAAAAAAAAGTTATTGCTTATAAATAAAATAAAAATAAAAAATTATCTATTTTTAAAAAACAAATAAAAATAATTTTTTTTTTTTTTTTTTATTTATTTCTAAATTTATAAAAATCTAGTTTTCAGAATTATAGATTATATATAAAATAATTAAAAGAAAAAACAATTATTTTAAAAAACTATGCATTATTATAGCGAAATAAAATAATAATTACGAAAAAAAAAAAAAAATAAAAAAAAAAATTAAAATTAATTTTTTTTTGAAATTAAATTTTTTATAAATTAAAAAAATTTATTTTCTTTTTTTATAAAACCTTAATAATATAATAATAAACTATAAAATTTTATTATATATATATAAATTATATATATATAATAAATAATTAAATATAAAAAATAAAATTTATTATTTTATTTTTTAAAACCTTAAACTAAAAAAAAAACAGTAATAATAAAAATAAAACACAATAATAATATTAATAATAATAATAAAAATATAAAATAAAAATGAAAGAAAATTTTTTAAAATTAATAATTTATGGATTTTTAATTATATTTGGTTATTTTATTTATACCAATAATCAAAAATTAAATAGTGGTAATGTAATAATAAAAGATATTGTTTACGAGAAATATCAAAGCAAAGAACAATTCGAAAAGGGATTGGACAAACCAGTAATATTAGCTCACCGTGGTTCAAGATATTTGTTACCAGAGAATACCATTTTAGCATTTAAAACAGCCTTGGACCTAGGTGCCGATGTTATAGAAACAGATGTAAGATCATCCTCCGATGGTGTATTAGTAGTTATTCACGATAACCTTGTTGACCGTACCACCAATGGTAAAGGCGAAGTCGAGAAGCATACCGTTGCCCAACTTAGAGATTTAGATGCAGGTTATAATTTTTCACCAGACAACAGCACAACCTTCCCATATCGTTCAAAGGGTATCAAAATCCCATTAGCAAAGGAGCTCTTTGAGTCATTACCTGCTGAAACCCAATTAAATATCGAGATTAAAGAAAACAGTTTGGATGTAGCCCAATTACTTTGGAATCAAATCGAGAACTCATTTGAAAAAACCAACAGAAAGCCAAGATCAGTTTTAATTAGTTGTCGTTACTGCGAACCTACCCAACACATTCGTAAGTTGGCTCAGCAATACCAACAAAAGAAAGGTCTCCCAGCCCTCCCAATTACCACCTCTGCCTGTGAACAAGATGCTACTAAATTTGTCATTTTAAATCAATTCTTTTTAGCTCGTATCTACTATACTTGGTATCCAATTACAAACTTTGAATGCTTCCAAGTTCCAACCTTCAGTGGTCCAATTCGTTTAGATACTCACAGATTCATTGACTCTGCTCACTATTTTGGTAAACAAGTTCACTTTTGGGTCGTTAATTTTAATGACGAAATTAGAAACCTTTTAGATTTACCAATTGATGGTATTATCTCTGATCGTGCCGATCGTGTTGTTTCAGTCTTTAAAGAAAAATCACTCAAACCATCCTCTTTCCAAATCCCAAAACCATTACCATCAAACTCAACAGGCACTTACTTTTTACCAGAATTTGACATTGAAGAAAATCATACCTGTATCTCTTTAACCTGTATACTCGTTCAACGTATTCATCAAATAATTTTATCTTTAATTTTTGCTTTCTTATTTTTAAAAATTATGGCCTTTAAAAATAGAAATAAGCAACAATAAAAAAAATAAAATAAAATAAAATAAAACAAAATAAATATTTATTACATATCTTTTTATCTGATTCTTTATTTATTTATTTTTTGGTTTAATTTTAAAAAATCTGGTAATATTTTCCAACTATCCAGTACAATTTGATCCCATGATGTTGGTCGACCACAGTTTGAACGATCTATAAAGTCTAATGGTAAACCCTGGTGCACCTCTACCACACCATATTTTAAACCTAAATTATTTACTGTACCATTGATTTCTTTATATAGATGAACCGATGGGAAGCTACCTTGATTATAGGTACCATGTAATATTTTATTATTACAACTTGTTATCATTTCCTTTGATTTAATTTGCTCTACCCAATCATCGAAATATCCAAAATTATAATTTAAAATTCTAGGTGTTGAGGTTGCTGAACTTTCACAAACCCTTGGACCCGCCCTTTTATTGTGTAGCTCTGAATTAAAACAATATCCATCGCTGTGAACCTGAATTACCAGATCATTATCAATGACTGTACTTGATAGTTGATCTCCTATATCTACCATATTTGGACCATTAACAATACCAAAATCGCTATATGTTGAATTATTTCCTGTACTATTCATTTTCAAATATACTCCATAAATTTCCTTTTTATCGTTTGAGAAAAGCAAAACTGTATCAACTCCTTCTTTATTCCTATTTATTGCTGATATTGATGTAATTGGTGGAGAATTTTTATTGATGCTATCGCTGCTACTAGAGTTGTGAGATATTAATATTTTTGATTTATATTTTGGTATATTATTTATAGGAATTGTTAATTTATCAAAGTACCAAATATTTGTTGATAGTAAATTAACATTAGTTGAAAGATACTCTATTATTGTTAAATCATTATTATTATCTATTATAAAATCGAATGTGTTTACTGTTCCAGGATCATCCTCTGTTGTATTTATCTTTAAAGAATTGTAATCTAAAATTTCAAAACTTGTATCGGTAACCCCTGTATTATATATTAAATAGTTTGATTGATTATCTATTATAAACAATGTTGAATTATTAATTAGATTTATAGTATTTATGGGTGATTTAAATGCACTGTTATTAGGTATATCTAGTTTAAAAGTATTTAAATAATTTAATCTTCCTAATATTTGATCTGAATTAAATAAATGGTAATAAACTGATGTTGTTGGTGATGAATCGTTGGTAAAAAATACTATAAAGTGATTTAAATTATTGAATTGATATGAAATGATTTTGGGGTTTATTAAGTTTTGTAAATTTGATGATGTAGAGGATGTTGATGTTGATGCTGTGGGAGTGTTGACTGATAAACTATTATTTGAAAATAACCAACTAGTTATATTTGAATAAAAATTATTACCATGTAAACTATTACTGTTCTTAATACTCTTTAGTAAATTGGTATATTTCTTATCTATAGGTGGCTCATATGCAGAACGAAGAGTTAAACCATAATCATCAATTTTAAAGTTCCATGTTTTGTTTGATACCGACCCTGCATATAATGATAACTGAATTGGGTCAATATTTGATGCAAATCTTAATTCAGGGAATTGTAAATCACTATGTCTCGCTAAACATGAGTGATAAGATGAAGAAACTGCCTGAATATCATGTTGGCTGGCTGGTTCCCAAACCAATATTGGATAACTAGAGTTGTGGAATTTACCAAATGGCGGATGGAACAAACAAAGAACATCTATCCAAAATGATGGAAATATTGGTGCAATGTAAATATCTGCAACTTGAAATCTATCATAACCTTTACTGGGATCATTTGAAAAAAGAGCGCCAAAGGGTTCATCGATCCATGTTGAAATTAGTGGGTCCCATTTGTCTTTTAAGCAATCAATTTGAATACCCTTTCCATCCAATACAAATTCAATATTTAATTGTAACTTTTCTTTGATATCTAATAGATCCAGTATAAACTCATCTAATAGCTCATTATAGTCTCTTGCTTCTTTGGAGTTACCACAAACTGAAAAATGCGCCTTAAAACAAAAATCCATATATTTTAAAGTATTTGAGATTGAATTAACGCTATACCATATATCTTTTCTACTCTCAATGTATTTTAGTAAATCTAATGTATTGTTGTATTGATAGTTTATTGATGGGGTATCGTGTGAGAATACAAAACATCCTCTTGAGTCATTTAAACCTTGGGACATACAAAACTCTTTAGAATACACAAAATGCACATCGATCTTATTCCATATTACACCCTTTGCATACATTTGATCAAACTCGTTTAAATCGTTCCAAGAATGTATTTCACACCCTATATTTTTATTTTGAAGAATCTTTAACCCATTATTAAAACTATTTATATTATTATTATTATTATTATTATTTCTATAATTTGTATTATAGTTTGAGTTTATTTGTATTTTATAATGATTGTTATTATTATTATTATTATTATTATTATTTATACATTTTACTATATCTATACTGCTTGTAAATAATATTAAAAATAATAAAATAAAAAAAATATTATTTTTCATATTTTATTAATTTTATAGCGACAAACTATATTGTTTTGTTTATTGTTGTGTGATTATTTCATTTGATTTTTTTTTTCTCTTTAAATAAAAGGAAAAAAAAAAAAAAAAAAAAAAAAAAATATTTTAAATTAATTTATTAAATGTTTATTTTATTATTTTTTATTTATTTTAATTTTTTTTTATTTTAAATTATTATTATAAAAAAAAAACAGTCTTTATAAAATAGTTTTAAAAAAAAAAAAAAAAAAAAAAAAAAAACAAAGATTTATTAAAAACAAGTAATAATTATAATAATAATATAAAAGTAAGGATAGGATTAATATTTAAATTATTATATCAAAAAAAAAAAAAATAATAAAAAAAAAAATAATAAATAATAATAAAAAAAAATAACACAATTATTTCTAATGTTGTGTGTGGAGAGTGGTGTGTGAAAAATAATAAATATCATTATTAGGACTAATAAGAATAAAAGCTTTTGTAGTAATTCATTCTTTCATTTGGTGTATATTTACACACATTTTAAACAATTATTTTAAAAAAAAATAAAAAATAAAAAATAAAAAATAAAAAAAAAAATAAAAAAATAAAATAAAAAAATTTTAAATTCATTTTTTTTTAAATTTTCTTAAATAATTATAACAAATTATTAAATTACTATTTATATAATAACATATAAATTTTTTATAAATTTTACTTCTTCTATTATAACTATTGATTTTAGAACTTCTAATATGTCAACAAATATAAATAATAATAACAATAGTAATATCAAAATTAATAATAATAACAATAATATTAATATAAACCAACAAAATATGACAAATACAAATCTCAATACAAATGCAATGTTTTCTCAACAGCAACAACCACCTAATATGAATATAGCTAATTTAAACACTACACAATTAAACTCCCTTCATATATCAAGCCCAAATTTAAATATGCACAATAACCAAAATAACGATAATATAATAAACAATAATAATAATAATATTAATAATATTAATAATAATAATAATAATAATAATAATAATAACAATTTAAATGGAGAAAGTAATGATTTTGAAACGAACCCATACCAACAAGATATAGGCGATGTAGGTTTATTTTTAATTTTATTTATAAAAAAAAAAGATAACAAATACTAATGTTTCGAAAACTATTTATAGGTTTGTTTTATGGTAGAGAAAATACATGTAGATAAAGAAGAATCAGATTCATATATGCCGTATATTTGTTAATTTAATATTATTATACAAATTTTAAACAAGAATTATATTTAAAAAAGAAAAATAAAAAAGTTAAGTTTTTAAATAAATAAAATATAAAACAACATAGCAGTTTGTTTTTTAAGTTTAATAAATAAAAAAACACACATTCCACAACACACAAATCTTCTTTTTTTTTCTATATAACCCTAAAAACACGATCCTCTTTTTTTTTTTGAAAAATAAATTGAAAAAAAACTAAAACTGTATAGATCCTATAATTTTTTATATATTTAAAAAGGCATTTATTAAAGATAATTTAGAATCTTAATTTAGAGAAGAACCATTTTGATTTACCGGCTTTGTGTCTAATTTTTTTAAAAAAAAGAGTAATAGTGTTAGGAGTTTGTTAAATTATAGTGGGTTTATATTAAATTTTGTTATTGTATACATACTTGGCTTCGAAGATTTTCTTGACGGCTAAACGGGTGTTGGTACGTTTGGCAACTTGGGAGCTTTCGACGGTAACAGTGTTTTTGAGACCAGTGAAGGCTGATTCATCACGACCTTCAAAGTTGTAACGAGTTGGCATGATGTGGTTGTAGTTGACGACTTTGACGAATGGTCTGATGGCAGTTCTTTTTAAGATGGTTTTTCTGCTCATTGATCTGACAATTTGACGTGGGTATTTGTCAATACCAGCAACTAAACAGTGACCATATGGACGTTCTTTGTTGGCATCATCGAAAGGTAAATAGAAGTCATTTTAAATCTTTTTTTTTTTTGTTTATGTTGTATTATAAAGATATGAATATAAAAAAAAACACACAATAACAATAGAGATCATTATTTCGTTGATATAGTATCCACACAAAAGCGATGCATAGAAACATTTTCAATCTACTTTAACTTCTCTAAAACACTTTGAATGTGCACATATCCACAACAATAACAATAACCTAAAATCCACAATCTAACTCACCAATGTTTAAATATACTTGTGATAGTTGGTATTTTTGATAACAACAGCTTTACGACCGGCGTATTTACCGTTTAAGAGGATAACTAATCTACCTGGTTTGATGCTAATATATATTATTTCATTATTATTATATTGGATTGTGATAATTATTTGATTAATGTTTGATAATAAAAGATTATGATTAGATTAATACAGTTTTGATAAAAGATTGATGGATTGATACACATAATATGGACTATGTGTAAAAAGAGATAGAGATAAAGATAGACTTACAACTTGCTCATTTTGACTGTTTGGCTAATATCATACAAAAAATTTTTTTTTTTTTCGTCAAAAATTTGGTGTGTGCGCAAACCAAAAAATTTTTTAATTTTTTAATTTTTTTATGAATATGAAATTTTTACGAGGACGTTTTTTTTTTTGTGTGAATGTCATAGCCCCCATATAAAAACTTTTTTTTAATTAACGACAATCCCAAAATTTATATGTAGTATCATGTAACGTTAAAATTAAATAATTTATAAATAATTTATATTTATTATTAAAATTTTTTTATAAAGTATAAGTATATATTAAATTGAATATATTTTAATTTTATATTAATTATATATTTTATAAAATTAATTATATACATATAAAAATTATATTTTTAAAAAAGTTTTTTTTATAAAACAAAAAAAAAAATTTTAAAAAAATTTCTATAAATAAAAAATTAATTTAAAATTAATTAAAAATTAATAAATAAAATAAATAAAATAAATATAATATTTAAATAAATGTTATAATCAAATAAAAATTTTATTTGTATATTTATTTTTTTATTCTCTATTACTATTTTTTATTTTTTTTTTTTTTTTTTCAATTTTTTATTTTGTTTTTTTTTATTTTTTTAATCCAAAAAAAAATTTGCGATTTATCATTTTAATTTTTTTTTTTTATTACGATTGTATGAATAGTTTAGAAAAAGAAGAAATTAATTGTTTATTTAAGAATGAAATAAATAATGGTATAAAAGATGACAATAGTAAAATAGTATTATTAAATGGTGAACAAGCATTACAATCATCCATAAATGCATCTTTATCAATATTTTCAATATTAAAAACATCGCTAGGACCGCGTAGTATGAGCAAGTTAATATTAAGTGTGTATATTTGGATATATTAAAAAAAAAAAAAAAAACTCCATATTAATATTTTATTTTATTTTTATTATAGAGCCTAATGGTCAATATATTATTAGTAATGATGGTGCAACCATTTTAAATAATATTAAAGTTCAACATCCTGCAGCATCAGTATTGGTCAATATTGCATTATCGCAAGATAGAGAGGTTGGGGATGGTACTACATCAGTTGTGTTGTTAGCCGGTGAAATTTTGAAATCTATAACCGAGTTATACATTAGGTCCAAAGAAGAAAAGAACCCTATTCACCAAACTACAATTACAACCATTTTGTATCAGATTTTAAATGAAGTTTTAAAAATATTAGATTCAGTATCAATAGAATATCCATCATCTTCAACTAAAGAGATATTATTTAAAATGGCAGGTGTTGCATTAGGAACAAAACATTATTCATATTGGACCAAGAATTTAACAAATATTACAATTGATGCAATTCAAAATTCAATAGATACAACATTAGATAATAGTAATAATAATAGCAATTGTAGTAATAATAATAATAATAGTAATAATATTGATATAAAAAATAATATTCAAATTTGTAAATTACAGGGTGGTAATATTAATCAAAGTAGTTTTTACAAAGGATTGGTAATGACTAGTAAAGTAACTCCAGTATTTAGAAATTTAGATATTAGTAATAATAACATATCAATAAAAACAATAGTAATAGGATATGACATAAATAAACATTTAAAAAATATACAGTCAAAATATACAACTATTAAATCCACAGCGGAGATGGAGGATTATTATAAAATTGATAGTAATTTTATAGTATCTTTCATTGATAGGTTAGTTAAAAATCAAGTAAACTTAGTATTCTTTAAATTTAAAATACCAGATTATCTATCACAGTTGTTATATTCGAATCATATCTCTGTAGTTCAAGATTTTTATAATAATAGTGGTATAAGCTATAATAGTACGGGCAACATCAGCGACTTTACAGAAACCGATGAAAATTTAAAACAACAGCAAAAATATCAAGATGATTCGTTTGTTTACAAATTATCAAAACTTACAAATTCAATACCAATTATGAAGTATGATGAATTGGATTTCCATTTATTACAACAACAGCAGCAACAAAATCAAAGCCAAAAAGATAAAGAAAAAGACGATGATGTTGGTGGTGCTTCAGATTATGGATGTATAGGTACTATTACAAAGTTATCAATATTGTCAAAGTTTGAAGATGAATTTTATATCTATTTAGAGTATGTATAGCCCTATTATAAATATTTACAATAGAGATGTTATATTAATTTTTTTATTTTTTTATTTTAAGTAATAATAATTTTAAACATAAGTTATCTTGTATTATAATTAAAGGACCAACAAAAGATATTTTGGACGATTTAGAAATTGGTATAGTGGATTCACTTCATTTAGTTAAATCCTCATTAGAGTCAAAGCCTATGATAGTATATGGTGGAGGAGCATGCGAAATGTCAATATCAAGTAAACTACTAGCATATTCAAATTCAATTAACCCAAATGAATCAACTTTGCATTATTGGAAAAAAGAGATATCAAAAACAATATCAGAATCATTTCAAATTATACCATCCATACTGGTAATGAATTCATATAATACTTCAAATACCAAGCAACCTTTAGAAATTATTGCACAGTTATTATCATCACATCACAGCTTTTATAATGGTAATGATGGTGTTTGCAGTTTGGGTATAGATGGATGGACAGGTGAAATCAAAGACATGAGGGAGATGAATATCATCGAACCTTTAATATTAAAAAAATCAATTATTATCACATCTATTGAAGCTTGCATCACATTATTAAGAATTGATACTATCGTTACATCTTCAACAAATCTTGTATAAAATAAATAAATAAATAAAATTTTTTTTTTTTTATTTACAATATTTATAATTTATATTTTATTTCTTTATTGTTATTATTAAGCTATTTATGAGTACATTGATGTTTTTGAATAGTGTCTTCTATCATCATCATTATTGTCATCTGTTTCGCCATTCTTTTTTTCATGTTCTCTAACTAAACGAATCATCATATCATATTCTGCATTTGATGTTGGTAATGGGTAACGACAATTGGCACATGTTGCAGATTGCTAAAGTAAAATATTGTATTAGTATTGGTATTATAAATATCTAGTAATTAAGGTTTAGGTTTTGAATGCTTACCTTATGTAACCATGTAGTAATACAGTCGTAGTGAAAATAGTGTTTACAAGGAAGTTTAATAGCTTCGTCATCTATATCGAAATCACATAAACAAATTGAACAATTTCCTATTCTACTTTTATTTTTTTCTGTAACTAAAACATCCTCTTTTAATTCATTAAATTGATATTCTGAAACTGGAGGTACTGGAGTACTATTTTGTTTTATTTTTTTGTCATACGATTAGCATTTCTGAAAATTATTACGATAATATCTTTTAATTTTAAATTATACATACTGTTTTAATATAAATTTAATTCTTTCAATATCGACTACATCATCCTCTTCTCCAAATCTACCTTCAATAATATTTCTTAAATCTGACATATTATTATGGTTGTTATATTAATGTTTATATAAAGTGTTTTTTAATAAAATAAAATTATTAAAAAAAAATAAAAAAAAAAGAAAAAAGAAAAATATTTTAAAAAATTAAATTAAAAATATAAATATTTATTTTTTATTTTAAAAATTTTAATTTTTTATTTTATTTTTTTACATTAACACATAAAGTTTTGTTTTCATCCAGTCATTATGGTTGTATTAAATAGATAAATAATTATTATCCTTTTTATGGATGGAATACTTATTTTTTTTTCGTTATTTCAAAGCGAAAAATATTATTTGAAAAATTTTGTAATATTTTTTTTTATCCTTGTTATTATCTTCTATACCAATATCAACAGATACAATGGATTTTGGTAAATTTTTTAATGATTCAAAATGTGTAAATTTTGAGCCTAACTTTAAATAAACAACACTGGATGGAATACTATCTTTAATTATGGGTTGGTTATAGTTTGGTAGCAATAGAAATTGAACATTTTTTGGAATATTATTATTTCTTTTTAATGGTGATTGGAAATTATATCCTCATTTAAAGATTTTTATTGATGAAGGAATTGATTCCCCATATTCTAAAAGATTAAAATTATCACACAGAAAAAGAACTTTCACTGAGTCTGGAATAGATGATTCTTCGAAATCATGTGTATATGAGAGCAGATGAAGAACCTTGATTGATTCAGGTATTGAGTTTTTTATAATTGGATGATTATGTGAGTCAAGGACGAGGGCTTTAAGTGTACGAGGAATTGAATCAATAGATATTGGATGATTAAAATAAGGCATCGATAAACATTTTACAGTTGGTGGGATTTCTTTTGGAAATGTTGGATGGTTATAAGATGATAGTGTGAGATATTCTACTGATGATGGAATAAAGTGAAGTGATGTTGGTTTATCAATGATTAAATCTAGGTATTTTATTGTCGATGGAATAGGAGTTTGTTCATTGAGGTTTGAAGGATCAATGTTTTTTGATGGGGGAGATCTACCTGAATTATATATATCAAAGATGAGTTTAACGGTCTAAAATTATATTTTAAATGTTAGTATTTTCTAAAAAAAAATATATAATTTTAATATTTACCATATTTCTATCTATGCCTTTTTCCTAACGAAAAGCTCTGCATATGAAACGGTTACTTAACAACTTTTCAAAATAAATTCATTGCATTCAAAATTAATAAAAGTATTTAGAATTCGATTCATTTTAAATTCAGAAGAAAAACTCACAAAATGTTTGGATTTGCTTTCAGTTCTTCCAACTCAAACAAAAAAATTTACAGTTTATATTTTAAAGAACGACACTTATGAAGTCAGATCTCATAAGTAAGATATTTGTAATAAAAAAGAAATAAGATTGCAATAAGAGAAATATCATATTAAAAACAATTAATCTAACTTGTTGAGAAATTAATTAATTGATTCAAAAGGTTAATAAAATCCTATCACCACAAAAAATAAATCAATAGAAATTAAAACAATAATAATTTAAAATAATTTTAACAAAAATAATAATAATATAGAAAAAATTAAAAAAATTTTAATGAAATATTGTATTTTTTATCTGATGAAAAATTAAATTTATTAAAAAAGAATTATAATTTTTATTTATTGGATATTTTATATGAAATTCTTTATTTCATCATTTATTCTTTATTTAAAATTTATATTTATTTCTGGAGCATTTTGTAATATTTTATCTATATCTTTGGTATTTTCCACACCAATAGTAAGAGATATAAGGGATTTTGGTAAATTTTTTAATGATTTGAAATGTGTAAATTTTGATCCTAGCTCTAGAAAAGAAACACCAAATGGAATACTTTCTTTAATTATGGATTGGTTGTAATTTTTTAGTGATAGATATTGAACATTTTTTGGAATATTATTATTTCTTTTTAATGGTGATTTAAAATTATAGTTGCTTGAAAAAATTTTTATTGATGAAGGAATTGAGTCCCCATGTTCTAAAAGATTAAAATTATCACCTAAAATAAGAGCCTCCACTGACTCTGGAATAGATGATTCTTCGAAATCATGTGTATTTGAGTACAGAGAAAGAACCTTGATTGAGTCAGGTATTGAGTTTTCTTTAATTGGATGATTATGTGAGTCAAGGACGAGGGCTTTAAGTGTACGAGGAATTGAGTCAACAGGTATTGGATGATTGAATACTGACATGGATAAACATTTTACAGTGGGTGGTATTCCGCTTGGAAAAGTTGGATGGTTATAAGATGATAGTGTGAGATATTCTACTGATGATGGGATAAAGTGAAGTGATATTGGTTCATCAATGATTAAATCTAAGTATTTTATTGTCGATGGAATGGGAGTTTTTTCTTTGAGGTTTGAAAGATCAATGGTTGTTAGTGCCAGAGATTCTCTTGAATTTAATATACCATCTATGAGTTTAAGGGTCTAAAATTATATTGTGGTAAATGTTAGTATTTTCTAATAAAAAATATATATTATTTTAATATTTACCATATTTCTATCTTTGTTTAAAAAGAAATTTCTAGAAAAAGGGTCTTTAGTTAATAAAAGTTTGGTTGTAAATTTAAGATTATTTGAAAAATATTTGGGGATTTTTGGTATATCGTTTTCATCTAAGGTTAAATCACCACAGCCCATTTCAATAACTGTACAACCTAGACTCCAAAAATCAGAACTAAAACATGTTTCACCTCTTCTTGTTTCAGGTGACATGTGTGTTGGTGTTCCTGCGATTGTTGATGCTTTATAATCTGTAAATTTTGAAATACCAAAATCAATTATTTTAATTTTAAGATCTGATTTAATCAATATGTTTTGACATTTAATATCTCTGTGAATAATATTATTATCGTGAAGAAATTCTATTCCTTTAAGACAATTATTTAGAATTATATGTATTAAATTTTCATGAATCCCTTTATCTCCTAGATGTTTATCTATTGAATGATAACCTTCTAAATATTCCATATATATATAAAGTAAACCATTATCATTGTTATTTTGATCTACACCAAAGCCATATCCATAAAATTTGATAATTTGTTCACATTGTTTTTCTAAACCAATTAATATATCTATTACTTCGAGTTCTCTTTTGCCCTGTTTTTTAAAATAAAAAATTAATAATTGGAGGAATTGATGATAATATATTAAATCTATATGTAAAATTACAATTATTCCAAACTTTTTTGTATCTATTATTTTAATTACACATTCCCCATTATTTGGTAATTGTTTATCTTTTATTTTACCGTCTAATTTTTTTGCTTTATAAACTCCTTCACTTAATGATCCTTTACCTAATGGTTCAGAGCGGTTGATTGACCCCTCCCTATCTATATGTTTTGGGAGGCAATCCATTTACTCTTTAAGGATTTGTTTTGATTTTTTAAAAAAAAATTTTTTAAGTGATTATTTATTTTTATAAATTATTTATATAAAAAAATAAATGCTAAAAAAAAAAAAAAAAAAATTAGTAATAATATTATTTTAAAAAATTTTTTTTTTTTTTTTTTTTTTCAACCAAATCCAGATTTTTCTTTTTTAAAAAAAAAATTTTAAATCATTCGTTTCCCTATTTTTTTCGTATTTTTTTTTATTTTGTTCACTTTTTTTTATTTTAAAAAAATTAAAAATTTTTTTTTTTTTAAAAAAATCAACATTACACATAATAAATATAATTTCTTTCTGTTTATAGAAATTAATAAACAATGTTTAACATTTCAAATTCTTTTTCAAAAAAGTTTTTAAAAACAGAATTCGAACTTTCTTTTATTACTATTGAAAGACTTTTAGAATCTATATCATCCGTCCCCACTAAAGACTTTGGGGAAATGAGAAAACATAGAATGAAATTAAAATCTACTCTACATAAAGCAAAAGTAGATATTGGTAATCTTCAAAAACTTCAGGATACATTAGCATCATATCAATTGGAAATAGAAAATGAAGATGTTGAGTCATTTAAAAACTTTACAATAAAAACTAAAGTTGCCAGTAATGAATTAAAAGATGCTCCTTATCATAATACAATTTGTAGTACATGTAATCATGTTTGTCATGACCATTGTAAGTAATTAAATATCTTAAATTTGTTTATAAATATTCTTTTATAATATTAATTTAATAAAATTAAGGTGGTTTAGAAGAAATTTCTTCAAGGGATGACAATGCTTTTATTCGTTGCTGTTCAATGGCAGGTCATGATAGTTGTAGAATATGCCCTAGTCATTGTTCATACACTGTTCATTATCATGATAAAAAAACAATGGTGAACGTTGAAAAAACTGTAGAAGAGGAACTAAAAGATATAAAGGATAAATTGATGAAAAGCTCTCAATTATCCACCAAATTTTCTGGAAAGATTAGTAGCCTTTCAGATGCCAAGAATTTAACAGATGAAACTTTAAAAAAAATTACCACTGACATTGTTTCCTCATGTAAAGAATTGAATAAACTATGCTCAGGTTTTAATTTAGGAGATGAACTTCAAATAACATTATTCCAAATGGAAATGGAGGCAAAAATTTCAACATCATTCGATGCAAGAAAATCAGCTGATGAAATGATTGGAGTAATTAGAGAAATATTCGATTCATTGAACAAAGAATCAGAGTTAAAAAAGAAAAAAACTTCAACTGATGAATCAAAAATTAAAAAGGATCACATTAAAAAAAATAATATTTTGGATGATAGTGAAAAAGAAAAAAGTTCAAAAGTTCAATGGGATTGCTCTAGTTGTAAAGAACCTCTTGAAATTGATAAAAACCTATTCTATTATATTCGTGATAAAAAAGGAAAATTTTATTGTCAAAAATGTTTTAAATCCAATAATAATAATAATAATAATAATAATAATAATAATAATAAAAATATTAATAATAATAAAAATATTAATAAAGATACTAATATTACTAATGATAACAATAATAATAAAAACATTAATGATAACAATAATAATAAACAATTAGATTGATAAAAGAAAAATTTATAAATAAAGAATTGGAAATTAAAGACAATCAATTTGAAAATTCAAATTCATATGAAGTTTTAAACAAATCAAAAGATTCAATTGAAATTAACAATATTAATATTAATAATAATGATAATGATAATGATAATAATGATAATAATGATGATAATAATAATAATAATAATAACAATAATAATAATAATATTAATAATATTAATAATAATAATAATTGTTTTTTAGATGATAATGAAAAAGAAAAAAGTGCAAAATTTCAATCTGATTGCTATACTTGTAAAGATTCTGTTGAAATTGATAAAAACCTATTCTATTATATTCGTTTTAAAAAAGGAAAAATTTATTGTCAAAAATGTTTAAAATCCAATAATAAAAATAATATTTTGGATGATAATGAAAAAGAAAAAAGTTCAAAATTTCAATGGGATTGCTCTAGTTGTAAAGAACCTCTGGAAATTGATAAAAACCTATTCTATTATCTTCGTGATAAAAAAGGAAAGTTTTATTGTCAAAAATGTTTCAAATCTAATAATAATAATAATAATAATAATAATAATAATAATAATAATAATAATAATAATAATAATAATAATAAAAATAATAATAATAATAATAATAATAATAATAATAATAATAATAATAATACAAAATCTAATTCTAAGAAAGAATCACAGGAACAACCCTTGAGGAAATAAAAAAACTCAATTCCCAAAAAATTTTCCTGCCTGATCCAAGACAAGTTGAGGGAGAAAATCAAAAAAAACTTAGCACCTCAAAATGATAACTCTTTATAGAAAAGATGAAAAAAATAATAATTATATTAAAAAAACTTTACTGTCCTACTTGTAATAAGGAGTACTGTATTCTATTAAGAAAATATAATGATTAAAAACTCCATAAAAAAATAAACAATAGTATAATAATATTATAAAATATTATTCAAAAATATAAAATATTTAATTTTACATAACGGAGTTTTTTTATCTTTTGCTTCTATTATCATTTTGCTTTCTTATATATTTTTTTAAAAATAATAATTCAACTTTTTTCTTTTTTTTTTTTTTAAAATCGCAAGTAAAAAAAGTTTTTTTTTTTTTTCACTCGTAATGTAAAAGATCCATATGCGATTTGTAGTAAATGTCTACAATTCGATTATCTGTCAAAAGAATTAGAATCATGGTTGAAAATTAAACGTTTTAAATCAGTGGTTTATGTCTTCAGCTTTAGATTAGGATTAACATTTGGATTAGCATTTGGATTAGCATTTGGATTAGCATCAACAACAATATAATATTATTATAATGTAATAATTAACAATAGTAAAAATAATAATAATCTTTAAATAAATAAAATTTTTTTTTATAAATTATTATCCTTTTTTTATCTTTTTTTAATTTTTTTCATAAAAAATAATCGTTTTTTGGATAAAATCTTCCCGGTTATTTAAAAAAAGATAAAATGATAGTTTTCGAACTCTATAAAATTTAACTCTTGATTCCTTTCAACAAATTAAAAAATAAATAATAAAAAGTTTGGTGATTTATTTATACATCAAATTTGTGTTTATCATTGGCCAATTTATGTAAGGTTTATAATAATTGTGTAATAAACTTTTTTTGGTGAAGTGTGAAAAAAAAAAAAAATATTTTTAAAAAAAAATTTTTTACATTAATTTAATAGATTTTTTTTTTTTTTTAAAATTTTATTTTAAATTATTTGTAAAATTTTATTTATATTTTTTTCTAATAATTTATATATAGAATGATTTCACCACAACCACAACAACCACAAACTAAAATTGAATTATCAATTAAATGTTCTTCATTGAAGAATAAAGATATTGTTTCAAAATCAGATCCACGTGTTTACGTTTACTCCAAAGAGGTAACCGGCATGGTTTTAGTTGGCCAAACTGAAACTATTAAAAATGTAAGATTCAATTATATTTTTATAATCTTACACAAACAAAAATTATATATTAATTACTATACAAAAAAAAGAATTTAAATCCTGAATTTAAAGAAATCATCAGTATCAATTATTATTTCGAAAAACTTCAAGCACTTGAATTTATTGTTGTTGATATAGATAAAGAAATTAAGGGATTTGGTGATATCGACGAAAATGATACTATCGGTAGATTAAGCACAACCTTAGGTAGGAAGAGCGATACATATTGTTTTATTTATTTAATTAAATTTTTTATTAATTTTAATTTTTTTTTAATAATTTTAGGTGATATCATTTCACGTCCAAGTAGAATAATGGTAAACGAAATTAAATATAATGGCAAAAAGACCGGTATGATTCAAATTAGTGCTAATGAAGTTAACAATTCGTTCCATAACATTATTCTTAAACTTGAAGGCCATAATTTAGATAAAAAGGATCTCTTTTCATCTGATCCATATTTTTATGTTTTAAAAGAAAACCCAACAGGTTATGTTAGAGTTTTTGAAAGTGAGGTTATAAAGAACACTTTAAATCCATGTTTCGCACCAATCAGTTTACCATTAAGTGAGTTTAATTCAAATGATATGTTTAAGGGTATCCGTTTCGAATTTTATGACTATGACAAGACTTCAAAGCATGATTTTATTGGTTCATTTGATACTACAACCGACGAATTATTACAAGGTGTTAAAAGAGAATTTCAACTTATCAATCCAAAGAAAACATCAAAATCTGGATATAAAAATTCAGGTGTAATCAAGTTTTATGAAGCAAGAGTCGCTCCAACTCCAACATTCTTAGATTATCTTAATGGTGGCTGTGAATTTAATTTAACCGTTGCAATTGACTGTACCGCTTCCAATGGCACTTTACACAATACTGTCGATATGGCTGCTAATCAATACTTTCAATCTATTTCAGCAGTTGGCAGTGTTTTAGCTCCATACGATTTTGATGGTATGATCGATGTACTTGGTTTTGGTGGTTGCCATAATAGCATTGATGGTGGTAAAACTAGCCATTGCTTCCCATTCTCATTAAATCCAGAGGTTAAGCAAGCCGTTGGTGTTAGGGGTGTTTTGGATATGTATGTAGCTAATATTAAAAAAATTGGTTTTTCATGTCCAACCAACTTTGAAGAAGTCATTAAATATTCAAATAAAAAAGCAACAAAATCTGGTAAATCAAATGAACAACGTTATTCAATTTTATTAATTTTAACAGATGGCGATATTTCAGATCAAAAAGAAACTATTTCGGCTATTGTCGAAGCCTCAAAAGCCCCATTATCAGTTATTATGTATTTTTTTATTATATTAATTGATGGTTAAAAAATAAATAATTAATTGATTACTTTTAGTGTTGGTGTTGGTTCAAGTGGTTTTTATCAAATGAATGTTTTAGATGGTGACGGTGGTATTTTAGTTGATTCTAGCGGTCATAAAGCTAAAAGGGATATGTAGGTTTTTAATATTATTTTAGTTTTTTCAATTTAAAATTTAAATATTAAAATATTAATTTTTTATTGTATACAGTGTTCAATTTGTTCCATTCTCTAAATACGCAGCAGATCCATATCAATTAGCATGTGAAGTATTAAAAGAAATCCCACACCAATTTATGGTTTATATGAAACATGAAAAGATTTCACCTCTTCCACCAAGACCATTCCTTCCTCCACCAGTTTATAACTAGAGAGAAAATAGTCAAACCATGTAAAATAAACATTCTTTTTTATTTTTATTTATAATTTCAATATTTTTTTTTTCTTTTTTTTTTCTTTTTTTTTAATTTTTTTTATTTATATATTTTTTAATTTTTTTTATATTTTTTTTTATAAAAATTTTTAAAAAATAAATCTTTTAAAAATATAATCATAATAATAAAATAAAATAAAATAAAATGTCAATAACATTTAATGTGGATAATAAAATAAAAAAAGAAATTTTAAATTTAAAAATTTTCAATTTAAAAAGTTTCATAAAAGAGAATAGTCTTTTGCAAATATTATCAGAAAGAGAATATGAATCAATTCAATTCGAAAAGTATTTCCCTCGGGATAAAGTTGATGAGTATACAATAGAAGAAAGAAAGAAAATATTTAGTCTAATAGAAGAAAAGAAAAAAGAATATAGCCAGTATATAGAAGAAACAAAGAAAAAATCAGTAGAATGCCATCTTTTGGGATCTAGTTTTAAATTAAATAGCGACGATTCTTTTAATGTAGACAGTTTGAAAATGATGGGAACAAATTCATTTGTATTTTCATGTTGGGAAGCATATAATCATCACCATCACCTTGAAATCAGACCCGATGATGTTTACATGGCAATTATGGTTCAGTTTTCGCTTTACTTAAATAAACATTCAGAAATATTCAGAGAAAGAATTGTCGATTTTCAAGGCAAACAAACAATTGAAGTTAAAACCGGAGAGCCACTTTTTAATGCATCCTATGGCTTGTTAATAAATGAAATTGTAAAAAAAATGAAGTCAAAAATTAAAGACCCATCACTTGCGGAGTGGGCTGTACCAAATTTTTCAACAACTACAGAGTCTGATAAAATTGCATTTTCATCAGTACTCTTATCAACAATGAAAAAATATTATGAATATTCTATTAGATCATATTGTGGTTTACCATCGGTAACTCTTTTAGGTACTGTAGATGATTGGGTCGATTTAAAACACAGACTGCAAAAACTTAAAGAATTCAATATCGATAATAAAGTAATCCTAAAAGATAGAGATATTGATGAAATAGAAACTAAGTTCGAAATATTTAACACAAATAAATTAATGGATAGATGGGTATTATATTTAGAGCCAATTATTGATCAATTCATTTCAACAGCATCAGGTAATCCAGATTTAGAATGGTGGAACTCAATTGCTCACTATAAACAAAGATCAGGGGGTGATGATCTTACAGGTTGGTTATCGTGTTTTTGCTGTTTTGATAATGATGGTGAATGGATAGCAAATCAAATTAAAACTAGAAAATGGCCTGATATTGTTTTTACTAAAATAGCAAATGGTTATGTGGATACTACAATAAAGTTAATTGATGGCGATGAAACAGAATACACCAGCACATTATTCTCAGGTCACATTGCCACAACAACCTCAGATACAAAAATTAAACCATCAATTGATTGGTTTTTACTTTTAAATTCAAAATAAATAAAAATCAAAAATAAATCAAAATTATTTTTTGTTTTAGATATTATTTTCCTACAAAAATCTTTTTTTTTTTTTTTTTTTTTAAAATCCCAATTACAAATTTATTTTTTTATTTATTTTAAAATTTCATATATTATGAAAAAATATCTATATTTTTTTTTGATTTTTTTATTATTTTTTTAATTCATTTTTATAAAATTTAATCATCACACAAGTATAATTTTATATTATTTTTATAAAATGTTAAAAGGCAATATATTGTTTATTCTTTTGTTTGTGTATATATGTTTATATCGAAGAAGTTAAATCTATAGTAGCTCCTGGACTAGATGACAATGACTTTAATTGTGCAAATGCCCTAGCTTCAAAATGTAAGGAAGGCTCCTTTGTCTATAATGACATAGATAAAAAATATGATTTTTGTGCATCAACAGAAAAGGTAGTTTGTTCCAATGGTTTTATTTCAGTAATGTAAATATATTTTAAAAAAATTTTAAAGGTTAAATATAATTAACAAATTTTTTAAATATTTATATAGTTCTTTTACCTCTCTATCCTCAACAACAACTATATATCCTCAAGATATTGATTGTTTTCAAAACGCTAATAGAATTGAATTGAACAATTTTTTTTTATCACAAGACTTTCTTAGTTATACATTTAAATATCCATTTAATTTAATAACTAAAGATTGTAACAATTATCAATTTAATGCTCCTTTGTTTAAGTTTTCAATGTTTTCATTTTCAACAGATTTGGCAATAACTATTGATTTAAGTAAAATAGTTCAGGTTGGATCAATGTAAGTGTAAAATTTTTTTATTTATTTATGTTTTTTTTAATAAGAGGTTAATAATTATTTTAAATTTATAAAAGAAATTCAAATGCACCTTCAGTTATCTTTAATAACGATCTTAATAGTTCATTGTATAGAGAATTAAAGACTTTTACCCTTACAACCAAAAACATTCCTAATCTAAATAATTTATTTTTAGATAATTTAAGTTTATCTATTCTAAAACCTTATAATATAAGTTCATGGAATTATTTTTCTACATTAAACTCTGTAAAAACCATTACATTAAATGGAAATTCACTATCAGATTATTATCCTTTTCCATATGCATTGTTATCAAATAGTCAATTTAATATCAAATCATTGTAAGTTTTTTAATTTCATTTATATTTAATTTTCTATTAAATTTTAAAAAACTGTATAAAATTAATTACTAATATATCATTAAAAATTTAAAGAAATTTAAATTTAAGATTAGAAGAACCAACATCAACTATAGATTTAAACATTACATCATTAGAAACATTAAAAATGGATACAAAAGATATGTTCACTTTTAAAGGTTCAATTCCTTTTAGCAAGTTACCCAATTTAAAATATTTTGAAATGACCGGAACTTCAATCAGTAATCTACCACCTTTTTCACTCTTGACTTCAAAATATGTTTATATTAGTAAAAATAGATTTGATACAAAATTACCAGAAAAATTTAATTACACAAATACAATTCAAGTTTTGGATATTTCAAATAATAAAATTACAGGTACTATTGATCAAACTTATTGTTCAGTTTATTTAAACGTTAGTAATAATCTATTAAATGGAAAAATTCCATCGTATGTATTAAACTATTGAATTTAAAAATAGGTTTTAAAAAATATATATTAATCCTTTATTATTATTTTCAAATAGATGTTTTACTTGTTATTTTGCAAATCCTAAAGTTTTTTATAATTTCTCTGGTAACTCTTTTCAAAACTATCAAGATAATTTACCATGTACCACAATTAAACCAAGCATTAGGGCTAATGGAAATGAAATTATATTATATGGTAATGACATTGGATTTTATTCAAGTGATATCTCCACAGTCCCTAAATTAGATTTTGAAGTCTTAATCCCTAACTTAATGTTTATGGCAACTAGTAATTTAAAAGGAATTTTTATAGTGACTTTTGTTGGACCAAATTTAGAATTTACATTAACAAATGATCCTAAGCCACCAACTCCTGAAACAATTACATTTTTTACCTTAAACGAAACTGTACTCATAAAAGGTTCATACTTTTCATATATAAATGAAGAAAATAAAGTAACTTTTAATAAAGAACTATGCATGGTTATAGCATCATCATTTTACCAAATAGAGTGTTATTTTCCTGCTGCGAAAAGTTACAGTAAAGATGTTTTATATAATGGTATAATTAATGTCAATGGTTTAATATCACCACCATTTACTGCAAATTTTTCAATTGTTAATGATTATAAAGTTTGTCCAGGTAATTGCTCTTCTGATGTATCCAAAGGTTTTTGTAATATCATGTACGGTTTATGTATTTGTAGTCCTAATTGGTTTGGACGAAATTGTGAAAAACCAATGGCAAATGTTAGTTTTATAGTACCAAGTTCAACTTTGGGTGGTGTAGTTTTGATAAACGGATTCTTTGGAGATATTCATACAGATCTTATCGTGGAAATAGGTAATTTGGAGTGTTATGTTAATTTTGTTAGGAGTGATTTAATAAACTGTACATTAGGGGCTGGAAGAGGTGTAAAAAATGTTGCAGTCACTCAAAATGGATATTCATGGATGGGTTTATCTGCTTATAAATATCAAGAACCACATATTAGTTGTTTTAACAACTGCTCCAATAATGGTGAATGTTTGGAAAACGGTATTTGTAGTTGCTATAAAGATTACAAAGGTATTGATTGCAACTCTTTATCATCACCCGAAGACAACAGTTTACCTGAATCTCAATCTTCAGTATCAAATAGCTCTCAAATCTCTATTAACAATCAACAAACCAATTTCGAAATATTAATTACAAATCTTTACGAACTAAATATTGAAAATGAAATTGTAAAAAACCATAACCTTACCGACAAATGGATTAGTGGTAAAAAAGATATAAACACATATACATTTACTCAGAATTTAACAACAAATCTTCAAAGAAATAGTGTTATTCAGGTTATCATAGAAGATATAAAAGAAGACAAAGTAATAGAATTTGCACATCAACTTTACAAAATCGATAAAAATTCAATCAAAGTAACCATTGATATTCAAAACTACATATATGAATCAGCTCTAAATACACTATCGTTAATATTTCAATCCAAGGTATCTGAATTAGAAAATACAGAAATTAATAATTGTAATAATAATAGTATAACCATTTCAAATAATTTAGATGATCCTTCATTAAATAATAATTTTATTCAAATTAAAAAAAATGGTAAAATTTTATATGGTAGATTTTTACCCATTGTTTTATCAGATAACAAACCCACATTTATTACATCTAATATAATACCAAATAGTAATAAAACTGATGAAGATAACGAAAAAACAATCAAAGTTTCAATTAATTTACCACATTGTAAATATAGTTGTTTAATCGATCCAGGTAACTATATTAATTTAAAATATTTTACTTTAAATCAAATATTAATTAAATTTTTTTTATTTTTAGATTTTCAAGTTTTGTTATCATCTGATTTTAAAAAATCATGTGATGGTAATAAGAAATTAAATTATATATTACCGATTTCTATTGTAATACCAGTTATAGGTGTATCCGCAATTACTGCTCTTTCTGTTTATTACTATAAAAGACATTCACAAAAAAAGGATTTCGAAAATAAAATGGAAAAACTTAAAAATTTTTCATAAAAACGTATTAAAAATTTTAAATAGTAAAAATAAAACCAATAATAACAAAAGAAATTATTTATTTAATTTATTTACCCCACCCCAAAAAAATAAATTTATTTTTGCTTTTTTTTTATTTTTTAAAATTTTTTTTTTTTTTTTTTTGTTTTTATTTTTATTATTTATTATTTTTATCATTTATTATTTTATATTTTGTTCTTTTTATAAAAACTTATAATATTTGAAATGCCTAAAAATCAAACAGAAAAAGATGGACAATACACAAGAAAGGAAAGCTCTTTTAGAGATACGGTATCAAAAGACCACCCAGTATACCAACCAGAATCAGGTAGATACCATTTATATGTTTGTTTCGGATGTCCTTTTGCCCATAGAGCTTTAATAATGAGAGTGTTTGTATTAGTTAATAAACCTAAACTATAATCATAATGTTAATTTCATTTATTAGGTTAAAAGGTTTAGAAGATGTTATTGATATTTCAGTTGTAGATTATGTACTTGATAGATCAACAGGATGGAAATTTTCACCAAATAAAGATGGATGTACAGTAGATAAAGTTAATAATTTTGAATATTTGAAACAAGTTTATTTATTATCAAATCCAAATTATGAAGGTCGTATTACAGTTCCGGTCCTATTTGATAAAAAAACCAAAACAATTGTTAATAATGAATCAGCAGAAATTATTAGAATATTAAATAGTTCATTTAACGATTTTTGCAAAACTAAAGAACAATCGGATTTAGATTATTATCCAAAAGAATTACAAACCGAAATCGATAAAATCAATAGTAGAGTTTATGAAAATGTTAATAATGGTGTATATAAAACAGGCTTTGCACAGACACAGGAAGCATACGATATAAATTATATCAAACTATTTGAAACATTAGATTATTTAGAATCACATCTTTCAAACAATCGTTATCTTTTGGGAAAACAATTTACAGAAGCTGATATTAGATTATTTCCAACCCTAATTAGATTTGATGCTGTTTATTTTGGTCATTTCAAAGCTAATAGACAACAAATTAAAGATTTTCCCAATCTATCAAACTATTTAAAAGAACTCTACCAAATGGAACCAATTAACAAAACTGTTAACTTTCATCACATCAAAAATAGCTATTATGTTTCAATGTCTGATATAAACCCAACTAAAATTGTACCCAATGGTCCTGATTTGGGTTATTTAAACGAAAATCATAATCGTTTGGATATCAAATAAAAATAAATTTATTTTTATTAAACTCCACAACTTTATTTTTTTAAAAAAAAAAAAAAAATTTATTTATTTATTTTTATAAATTATTAAAAAATATAAATAAATAAAAAATATATTAATATATTAATATATTAATATAAAATATATTAATATAAAATATATTTTTTATTTATTAATATAATAATATAATCACCGGAAAGATAAATCCGGTAAAAACGAATACAATACAAATAAAAAACTCCCAACAAGTTTTTTAAAACACAAACCAAAACACAATAACACAAAAACAAATAAAAACTTACCGAAAAGTTTTATATATTTGTTATACCAAATGAAAACACAAACCAAATATATATAACACAACAAAAATAAAAAACTCCGAAGAAGTTTTTTATTGAAGAAAAAATAAAGCCGAGCATCTGCTAGGCTATTGAATTCCTGATAACTTTATATTTCTTAATTTATATTTTTTTTAAAATTTTTTTTATATGCAGCAATGAAATGTAAATATTTTATGGGAATAATTAAACAGTTCTAGCTATTTTTTAATAAATTTTTTTATAAAAAAGAAAAATTGTGTGTGGTGGGGTTTTAATTTAATTTTTTTTTAAAATTTTTTTTCAAAATTTTTTTTTTTTTTTTTTTTTTTTCCAATCATTCTTTATAATTTCAAAATAACAGAAACAAATAATAATAATTAAAAAAAAAACTATTAAAAAAAAAAAAAACTTATTAAAGGTGGAGATTATATGGATGGGCCATTAAAAGCAACACAAGTTTACCTCCAATCAGGTTAGAAATTAAAAGAGATTATTGGACACAGTGATTGGTATGAAAATATATAGAAGCTTTAGAAAGTAGCCCAAATACAATTACTACACTCTCAATGGTTTTAACTATGCAGTTATTCCTGGCACATAATAAATTTTTAAAATTATTTATATAATATAATTTTTATTTTTTTTATTTTATTATTAAATTTTTTATTAATTACAATAAAAACTTTTAATTTAATTATATTTTATTTATTATGTTAAAAGGTTTAGAAGATATTATTGATATTTCAGTTGTTAATTATACAATGGAGGTTTTTACAAGAAAAGAAGGATGTGCAGTAGATAAGGTTTATAATTTCGAATATTTAAAATAGGTTTATTTATTATCAAATCCAAATTTTGATGCTTGTATTACAGTTCCAGTCCTATTTGATAAAAAAACCAAAACAATAGTTAATAATGAATCAGCAGAAATTATTAGAATTTTAAATAGTTCATTTAACGATTTTTGCAAAACTAAAGAACAATCGGAATTAAATTACTATTCAAACCGAAATCGATATTAATAATAATAGAATTTATGAAACATAAAACACAGGTGAATATAAATAGGTATTCTCTCCAACCCAAGAAGCATACAATTCAAAATATATCAAACCATTTGAAATATTAGATTTTTTTAGAATCACATCTTTCAAACAATCGTTATCTTTTGGGAAAACAATTTACAGAAGTTGATATTAGATTATTCGTTACCCTCCGGATCCGATATAGTGTATTTCAGTCTTTTCAAAGTTAATAGACAACAAAATAAAGTTTTTCCCAATCTATCAAATTATTTAGAAGAACTCTACCAAATAGAACCAATTAAAAAAACTCTTAACTTTCAACATTAAAAATGGTTATTACACATCAATGTCAACCTTAAATCCAACCAATATAGTACCAAATAGTCCAGATCTATCGTATTTAAATGAAAATCATAATCGTTCCAATTTATAAATCATTTATTTTAAAATGATTATTTTAAAATAATAAATAAAACATATATAATATAATTTTTTAAATTTTTATTATTATCATAATAAAAATTTGAAATAAATTTTAAATTTTAAATTTTAAATTTTATATAACTAATAAAAAAAAATCCCTTATTTATTTTATTTATTTTTTAAATTTAGTAAAAAGGTAAAATAGAATCTAGTTTCTTTTTTTTTTTTTTTTAGTAAAAACATTTATTATTATTAAATCTTTTGACCATAATAACAAAAGATCATCTAAATATTTAAGTAAAAAAATAAAAAAATTAAAATTTTAAATCTTGATTTATTCAATAGATAATAATAAATAATATATAAAAAATTATTTTTATCTTTATTTCGATTTATTTATATTTTTGGTTTAATTGTGGGTGAAAAGGTATATTAATGTGTGTGTGGGAACGAATTAATAAAACACCAATTAAAATTATTTTTAAAAATAAAAAAAAAAGAAATTATTTTATTTATTTATATATTTTTATTTTTTTATTTTTACTTTTATTATTTTTTTTTTTTTTAATTTTTAAAAATAAAAATGAAATTTATAATACTATTATTTATTTTTCTTTTTATTTTTTTAAATAAAATGAAAGGAGAAAAAATATATAATTTTAATATTAATAGTAATAATATTAATAATAATTACCAAATGGATAAAGAGGGTCATAGCAATTTTTTAATACAAAATAATACTGGCCCCATCACCAATTGGATTTCATCTACTCATTTTGTATATAAACCAGAAAGAAATAGATATCATTTATATGTTTCGTTGGGATGTCCTTTTGCATGTAGAGCACTCATGACATTGATGATCAAAGGTTTAGAAGATATAATAGATGTTTCTATAGTAGATTATTATTTACATAACCCAGAAGGAGAAGGTTGGAGATTTATAGAAAATTCTAAAGAAGGAACAACAATAGACAAAGTAAACAATTTTAAAAAATTAAAACAAGTTTACCTTTTATCAAACCCAAATTATGTGGGTAAAGTAACAGTCCCAGTTTTATTTGACAAGAAAACTCAATCAATAGTAAATAACGAATCTGGTGACATTATGAAAATATTAAATTCAGCATTTAACGATTATTCAAAGTTTAAAAATAAAAATTCAATAAGAGACATATCACCAAAATCACTAGAGAAAAAAATTAACAAAATGAATGATTATATTTCAAAATCAATTAATCTAGGAGTTTATAACGTTGGATTAGCAAAATCACAAAAAGATTACAATCTACACTATAACGAACTTTTCGAGGCCATGGATCGATTAGAAATACAATTAAACAAAACAAGATATTTATTTGGCAATCAAATTACAGAAACAGATTTAAGATTGTTTAGTAGCTTAATAAGGTTCGATGCAATATACTATAGTTTATTCAAATGCAACAAAAAACAATTAAAAGACTACCCCAATTTACTAGGTTATGTAATGGATATATATCAAATGGAAGAAATAAAACCAACAATAGATTTCAAACATATAAAAGGATTTTATTATTTAAATCCATTAATAAACCAATACGAAATTATACCAAATGGACCTGATTTAAATTATTTAAATATAACTTTAAACAAAAACTCAAAACTCTAATAATAAAATATTAAATATAAAAATAAAGTGTTTATTAATATATTATTTTATTTACAATTTTTAATTTAATTTTCTTTTTTTAATGGTAATTTTTTTTTTTAAAAATTCTATTTTACATTTTTTTTTAGATTGATAAATTATTAAAATTTATTAGATATTGGCTAGACAAAAAGTTTATACACTAAATTTTAGTATATTCTTTTTCTTGAATACTATTATGCAATATTTCATTATCAGAAAAGATAAAAAAAGAAATAAAACATGAAATAATAGTAAACCCACCCCCAATAATAGCAACTATGAACCCACTTTTTGGACCCCACCCTGAATAATAGTTAATAAGATATGGGGATCCAAAATTACTCCAACCTTTAAATGAACCACACCACATATCATCACAGAGATCAGCAGTGACTTCATCTGAATGAGTACCCTGGGTGTCATCTGAATTATATGATTGAAGTCCAGTGTGAATTTTTGATGATGATACTAGAGCCAATACTAAAAATGTAATGGTTACTAAGGAGAGACCAAAAATAATAATTTTTACCCAAATATTTCTATATCTAGAGGATAAAAATAGAACCACTTGTAATACAATACCCAGGAAGGTTGATAAGACACTAACAGCAAGAAAAACTTGGATAACAATAAAGACAATACCTAATCCAAATAAAGAAGCAGTGGGAGGAAGAATGGGGTAACACTCACTTCCATCACCATTACCATAAAGTTTATTAATACTCTAAAAAATTAAATAAAAAAAAAAAAAAATTAATATGAATTGAAATTTTAAAAATTATTTAATTTATACTTACTTCCTTTTCTGAATTGTCATTTAAATAATCACATGTATATGAATTTAATTTGAAGTTTACCAAAGTAGAATAATATTTATAATTATCCAATAACCTACCATAAACCTCAATATGATACCATGGTAAAAAAAATGAAGAAATGATTAAAACCAATGCAGCCAAATTGAAAAATGTTGCTGTAGATGACAAAATTTTATTTTTCATTTTTATTTTATTTTTACTTTATTTTTATTTTTATTTTTTAATTTGAAAGTTATAATAAATAAAAAAAAAAAACCTTTTAAATAATAATTTTTTTTTAAAAATATTTTTTATTTATTTTTAAAAATATTTTTTATTTATTTTTAAAAATAAATAAAAATAGAATAGTAAATATTTATTAAAGATAAATTAAAAAAATGGGATAAGATCAAATTTTCAAAATTTGGAAAAAATAACTTTTTTTTTTGTAATAAAAAATTTATGTGATAATCATTTTATCAAGAGTCAATAAAAACTAAAAAAAAATTTACTTTTTCAAAAAATTACAAAAATATTTAAAAGTGAAAAAATAAAAAAATTAAAAAAATAAAATTTTTTTTTAACAAACACCCCAAAATAAATTCATGACAAAAAAAAAATATTAAAAAAAATAAATCTTAAAAAAATGATAATTTTTCACCAATTTTACTGAAAATATAAAAAAATTTTAATATCTTCTGTGATTATTTTAAAAAAATTAATAAAGAATAATACAGGTGTATTAAAAATGATTTTATATTTATAAAATTTATTTATATTTTAGTATATTCTCTTTGTCTTTTAAATTCTTTTGGTAAAGAGTTGGATAATGTAACAATACTTGAAACAAGGGTGAAAACACATGCAGAAATTGTAACTTTAAAACCACTTGCTGGACCCCATTTTGAATAACAGTTTTCTATAAGAGGTGAATAATTTGATGAACCTTGGAATGAAATACACCATAATTCGTCACATAGTTTAGATGTTATCTCATCTGATGAAGTTGAATGTTGATCGTCTGGACTATATGATTGAAGTCCGGTATGAACGGTAGAAGAAAAGATGAAACCTAATATCATGAATAAAAATGTAACCAATGCAAGTACAAATACTGCGATTTTCACCCAAACAACTCTAAATCTTGGTGAAAATACCATTGTAGTTTGTAGAACAATAGCTGCAAGAGCTGGGAGGAGGCTAAAACAGAAAAACAATATTGAAATCATCATTCCAATACCCAATCCAAATAATGAAGTTGATGGTGGAATAATTGGATAACATTCTGAACCTCTATTAAAATTATTAAAAGTTTTATGAGCTGTCTAATTTTAAAAAAAAAAAACAATAATATTGTTAGTATAATTTCCCTAAATTTTTAAAATGTAATCTTTTTATTTATAAACTTACAACTGGAATTGAATCATTATTTAAATATGTACAAGAGATTGAATTTAAACCAAACTTTACTGAAGTATCATAATATTGATCCATTGTACCCTGAATTGAAATACTATACCATGGTAAAAATAATGCTACTATAGTTAAAATAAATGATATAATATTGGAAACAGTTCCAATTGATGCTAATAATTTTTTCTTCATTTTTATTGTAATCTAGTTACTGAAGTTCTTGTATTATATAAAAAATAAAAAATAAATAAAAAAACAAAAAATAAAAAAAATTAATATTACAATGTAATGATACAAATATGAAAATATCAAAAAAAAAAAAAAAAAAAAAAAAAAACTTTATAAATTTTATTTTTTTTTATTTTTTAGAAAACTAAAATATTTTTTTTTTTTTAAGCAACACTATTTATTTTTTTTATGGGTATTATATTATTGAATTTAAAAAAATAATAATGATTCCTTCAGATTTAAATCCACCTAAAAATATAACTACTCAGAAAAAAAAAAAAAAAAAAAAACTGGGTGGTTGTCCACAATCATAGGATTTTATTTATTCCAGAATTTAAATAAATGTTTCATTTTATTTCTTTTTATTACTATCGAATATATTTAAAGTTCCTTCGTAAATTAAAAAGTTTATGCTAACTGTTGGAATTACTTTAAAATATGCTGGTTTAATACCTTTATATAAAGAACCAATACCTTCATTTTTTGCAATTTTTATTAATGCATCAATAAAGTTTCTATAAATCTTGCTTGACTCTTCTTTATAATAATGTTGTAACATGATTCTTCTTTTAACTACATCTAAAGGATATAAAACTAAAAAAAAAAAAAAAAAAAGTTAAATATATTGCTATAACTCCATTTATTATTATTATTATTATTTTTATTATTTAATACTTACTTGTCATTGTAATAGCTCCAGAAAATGCACCATAAATGGAAGGAAAATAAATTGGTGGTGTTTTTAAAATTGATTCTGTTTTTTCTTTGATTAATTCATAAAATGTAAAATTTAAACCTGCAAATGGAGCTATATTTAAAATTCCAGCACTTAAACCTCTAAAGAAACCAAAAACTCCATCTTGTTTATAAATTGACTTTGTTACTTGAAGTATTTCGCTTGATGTGTGTTTAATAGATATATGGGTTTTAATAACATCCAATGGATGTGTTAATGCAACAGATACAACACCTGCAGATGCACCTGCCCAAACTCTATTAATTAATGATATAGATCCATCAGCCTGTTGTACCATTCTTTTAAATGCACCATAAGAATAAAATCTAATTGCTGATTGGGGTCCAGCTTTAAGTATATTAACTAAATTACCTCTAAACAATCCACTAACACCCTCTTCCTTGAGTATGGTTCTCATTGCCTTTCCTACATGCTTATATTTTGTATGACCATCTTTAATATAGATCCCAACTTGATTTAAAATTTTAACACGTTCTAATGGTGCTGTTAATGTTCTTGAAACTATACCTGCAACCAACCCTATATTATATTTTTATAATTAATTTTTTTTTTTTTTTTTTTTTTTTTTTTTTGTTTTTTAATATTTGGGGTATATACCTGAATAAAAATCGTTACTATTAAAAATTTTTGTATTGCTATTATTTTGTACATTTTTATTATTTATATTGGTATCTATATTATTACTATTTTCATTATTTGTTGCTTTCATATTTTATTAGTTTTTTTATAAATTATCAAAAAAAAAAAATCAATAAAATTTTTTTTTTTATTTTTTTTTAAATTTTTTTTCATTTTCAATAATTTTTTTTAATTTTGATTATCAAATCATTTCTTCCACATTTTAATTACATTTTTATTATTTCTTCCCTATTTATTTATATACTTATTTATTTATTATAAATTAAATTAAATTATTGTTTTTTTATTATTTATTTATATTTTTATAAAAAAAAAAATAATTTTGTACCAAATTTTTATACATATTTTCACAAAAATATAATTATATTTTGGATTATTATCTCCCCGCTAGTACACTTTAAAATTATAATTGATTATCATTAAAAAAAAGAAAAAAAAAAAAACATGTTACCAATACCCCACGATATTTATTATTATTAGATAGAAAAAGGAATGTTTAAATATTATTTATTTATTTTTTTATTTATTTTTATAAATATAAAAAAAACTAAATAAATTATTTTAAAGTAAATCTTTTAAATGATCTTATATAATAATTAAAGTAAATTTATTTTTTATTTCTTTTAAAATAAATTAAAATAAAATAAAATTTTCCACAATTAGACATGGGATTTTCATTTAAATTTAAAATTAAATTTATTCTAAATTTCGATTTTAATTTTTTTTTTTTTTTTTTATTTTTTATTTATTATTTTTTTTTTTTTTTAAAAAATATAAAAGGAATTATTTTTTTTATTTTTTTTCTATAATTTAAATTAAATTTTAATATTAAATAATAAATAATAAATTAGAAAAAATTAATTTTTTTTTTAGTAATAATTTTGTAATCATAGTCTAGCGTATATATTGCATATTTTTTTCATATATATTTTTTAATTATATTTCAAATATTTTTTAATTCATACACCCCCCACCACAATAATAGCTTTTATCTTTTTTAATAAATTTTTTTTTTTCAAAGTTTTAATTTTAAATATTTTTTACATACATATACAATAAAAGTAAGTTTATTTGTTATTTTATATTAACAATAAAATAACACTACTATTTTTATTGATTAATAAATAAAAAAATTTTAAATTTAAATATTAATATAAATTTTTTTAAAATATAAAAATAAAGATGTCACTCAATCCAGAAGAATTTACAGAAAAAACTAATTCAATTTTAATTAAAGCCCAAGAATTAGCAAGAGAAAAATCCAATTCACAATTAGCTCCAATTCATTTAGCAGTTAGTTTAATGAATGATGAAGATTCATTAGCCAAATCAATTTACGAAAAGGCTGGTGGAGATATACCAAAGATCGATGCTGGTTTCAAAAGATTATTAAACAAAGTACCAGTTCAACAACCAGTACCAGCTGATATTTCACCAAACTCATTATTTGTTCAAATCCTCAGAAGTGCCTCGCGTTATCAAAAGAACAATGGAGATTCACATTTAGCACTTGACCATTTAATATTAGCATTGTTAGATGATCGTGATATCTTATCAGTATTGGGAGATGCTGGTGCAACTAAAGAACAAGTTATGCAAGCAGTTAAAGAAATTAGAGGCAACAAAAAGATTACAAGTAAAAGTGCCGAGTCCACCTATGATGCCTTATCAAAATATGGTTATGATTTAGTACAACAAGCTCAAGAAGGTAAATTAGATCCAGTCATTGGTAGAGATGATGAAATTCGTCGTGTAATTAGGGTTTTATCAAGAAGAACCAAAAACAATCCAGTTTTAATTGGTGAACCAGGTGTTGGTAAAACTGCTGTCGTTGAAGGTCTTGCTCAAAGAATCGTTCGTGGTGATATTCCAGATAATTTAAATGCACGTGTTATTGCTTTGGATATGGGTGCTTTAATTGCTGGTGCTAAATATCGTGGTGACTTTGAAGAGAGATTAAAGGCAGTACTCAAAGAAGTTAAAGACTCTAATGGTGGTATTATCTTATTCATTGATGAAATCCATTTAGTCTTGGGTGCCGGTAAAACTGATGGTGCCATGGATGCTGCAAATCTTTTAAAACCAATGTTGGCTCGTGGTGAACTTAGATGTATTGGTGCCACTACTCTCGATGAATACCGTCAATATGTAGAAAAAGACCCAGCCTTTGAACGTCGTTTCCAACAAGTATTTGTCAATGAACCATCAGTCAATGATACCATTTCAATTCTTCGTGGTCTTAAAGAACGTTATGAAAACCATCATGGTGTACGTATTACTGATACTGCTTTAGTAGTTGCTGCTCAATTATCTCATCGTTACATTACCAATCGTTTCCTTCCAGATAAGGCTATTGATTTAGTCGATGAAGCTTGTGCCAATACTCGTGTTCAATTAAACTCACAACCAGAAGCCATTGATAATTTAGAACGTAGAAAACTCCAATTAGAAGTTGAGGCTACTGCTTTAGAAAAAGAAGAAGATGATGGATCAAAACAAAGACTTGCCGCTGTTCGTGACGAACTCAATAATATCACTGATGAGCTTCAACCACTTCAAGCCAAATACCAAAAAGAAAGAACTCGTGTTGATAAAATTCGTGAACTCCGTAGAAAACTTGAAGATATTAAAGTTAAATTATTGGATGCAGAAAGAAGATACGATACTCAACAAGCTGCTGATTACCGTTACTATGTTATCCCAGATTTAGAAAAACAAATCCAACAATGTGAAGTCGAAAGAAAACAATCAAAGAAAGATGCACTTGTTAGTGAAGTAGTTACTCCAGAGCAAATTGCTGATGTAGTTTCACGTTGGACTGGTATTCCAGTAAGCAAATTAAGCCAAACTGAAAAACAACGTCTCCTTCATTTAGGTGAACATCTTCACAAGAGAGTTGTTGGCCAAGATGAAGCCGTCGATGCAGTTGCAGATGCAGTACTTCGTAGTAAATCAGGTTTAGCCAGAGAGAATCAACCATTAGGTTCTTTCCTTTTCTTAGGTCCAACTGGTGTTGGTAAAACAGAACTTGCCAAAGCTTTAGCCTTCGAATTATTTGATGATGAAAAACATATGATAAGAATCGATATGTCAGAATATATGGAACAACACTCTGTATCTCGTCTCATTGGTGCTCCACCAGGCTATGTTGGTTATGATCAAGGTGGTCAATTAACTGAAGCTGTACGTAGACGTCCATACTCTGTAGTCTTATTTGATGAAGTCGAAAAAGCACATCAACAAGTTTGGAATGTTTTATTACAAGTATTAGATGATGGTCGTCTTACTGATGGTCAAGGTAGAACTGTTGATTTCAGCAATGTCGTTATTATTATGACATCCAATCTTGGTTCCCAATACATTCTCCAAGAACAATCAAATCAAGATAACTTCTCAACTCTTTCTCAATCATGTAAAGATAAGGTAACCAACGAAGTTAGAAAACACTTTAGACCAGAATTTTTAAATCGTCTTGATGATATCATTGTTTTCAGTCCATTATCCAAGAACAATCTCCACGGTATTATTAATCTTCAATTACAATCTGTCGAGAAGAGACTCGAAGCTCAAAATATGAGTATGACTGTAGAAAAGGATGCCTTAGATTCAATTATCGCCAAATCATATGATGCTATTTTTGGTGCTCGTCCATTAAGAAGATATTTAGAAAAGAACATTGTAACAGAATTATCAAAACTTATTCTTTCTGGTCAACTTAAAGAACATCAACATGTAGATATCATTGAAAAAGATAATCATTTAGACTTTAAGATCTCTAATGAACCACAACGTCCTTCTTCACCACAAAAAAAACAAAAAATTCAAAATTAAATTTTAAATCAATACAAACAAAATAATTTTAAATAAATATTTTTCAATTTTTGATATATATATATTTTTTTTTTTATTGGATATTTAATAGTTTTAATC